ACAGTGTGGTAACACTTGAAAGAAACAGAGCCTGCTTTGTATGCAAAAGAATGCGGCGGCTTCATTTTAACAGATAATTCAAACGTAGACTTAGTAAATATGACATTCATTAAGTTGTACTTTCATTTATGTATCAGGATTTTCATGCCAAAGCTATTTTTGTTTGTTTGTTTGTTTGGTTTTGCAAAAGTTAGGAACTATAAAGAAAATGCATTTTTAGGATAAAATAAACATAAAGCATTTTAGTTATACTAGCTTAAGTCTTTAAGTGAAAATCATGGCCCGCTAAGCTTAATATTTTGTTTCATATAAACCAAATTTTTCCTCTTGGGATCTTTTATGGTCCCCTTGTCCGTAGGCTGTCTGGTGAACACTGTCTTCTTGGTGCTTATGCCCTTGGAGTAGAATCCACAGAGCTGGGAATGGCCACAAAGACCATGTGGGATCTGCCTAGCCCAGTGGTCGGCAAACTCATTAGTCAACAGAGCCAAATATCAACAGTACAATGATTGAAATTTTTTTTGAGAGCCAAATTTTTTAAACTTAAACTATATAGGTAGGTACATTGTTATTAACTTAATTAGGGTACTCCTAAGCTGGCCTTTGCTAAAGACATCCTCAATCTGATTGAGGTACGTTCGCTGACGTCGACCCCTTCCAACTCTCCCATCCACACTCATCTTGTATACTTGTTTCGTCTATCTCCTTTCCGAAACCCGACTTCTGCGCATGGGCCATGAAGTTTCAATCGCACTGTACGTGCGCGCCCACACGTGGTATTTTGTGGAAGAGCCACACTCAAGGGGCCAAAGAGCTGCATGTGGCTCACGAGCCACGGTTTGCCGACCACTGAGCTAGGGTGTAATCATGTGTTTTTAAAGAAAATTTCTTGCCTGTTTTGTTTAAGTTTTCCTGTGAGCTGGAAGGTTCTCCAGAGATCATCTAAGGACTAGATTCTAGTCTAACCTCTCCATTTTACAGGTAATGAAACGGAGGCCCAAATACATTTGCACTTTGTTAATTACAGTAGCATCTATATTTATTTGAAAACTCCGTTTTCTTACACATTACGTTGCCTATTCATTCTCAGACACGTGGATTGGTGGCCTCCTTACAGTAACCCCACAGCCTACTTTGGTATCTGCCACCCATATAGTGGGAACCCCCTGATTCAGAATTATATGCTAAAGAATTAAATATAAGCACCCACACATTTCACTCACTGTCTGTTCTCAGTCACATCTGTTTTCCCCTAAGGGAACGGTTCTCAGGTTGAGCTACACCTGGGTCCCCCCCTGCACCCTCTTCCTGCACCACCCCCCCCCCCCCACCGAGTTTCTGATTCAGTAGGCCTGGGGTGGAGAGGGAAATTTTGCATTGCTAACAAGTTTCCAGGTGAGGTGATTGATGCTGCTGGGACAGACACCACATTTTGAGAATTACTGTCCTAGGCTTACATTAGAGTAATTAATCTTGAATCTTTTAACTTAGAGTCAAAGCTTACCACGCACCTGGCCCTACCTGGGTAGCTCAGTTGATTAGAGCATCGTCCTGATACACCAAGGCTGTAGGTTTGATCTCAGGTCAGGGTATATACAAGAATCAACCAATTAGTGCATAAATAAGAGGAACAATAAAACCCCCCCCCCCTCTCTCTCTATCCCTCCCCCCTTTCCTCCCTCCCTCCCTTCCTTACCCTCTCTCAAATCGATAAAAACTAAAAACAAACAAACAAAACCTTTCTCTGTGCCCTCCCAAGCTTCAAACCAGCTTGACATCAGTGGGGAAATTACTATGATTCTGTATAAAAACTATTTATACGTGTGTTTTGTAATTTTAAAATATGTATTCTTTGGAAAGGAGAATAAAAGATCTAGTATCCTGGAAAGAAGACAATTTGGAAGCAAGCTAAAATCCTGCCATAAAAATAAAACTCATTGCTATCCTTTTGGGAGGGAGAGTAGTGTAACAGACGAAGAAAAG